ATGTGCAGGCACAGATTGGAGCCCATCCTGTCACCTGGGGACCTCGGGAGGCCATGGGAATTGAGGCAAATGTGCTGGTGCTCATGAGGGTTACTGTGGTGAAATAAAGTTTTTTGTCTCTGACCCAGAGTATTATGTTTCTTTGTAGCATCTGTGAAATTATGGTAAACTGATGTAATTGGCTTGCCAATAGGGTAAAATCTGAGACCCTTCACAGTTCTTGCTGCTCCTGTCCCTAATGTCTGAGGTCAAGGTGACGGACCAGTGTCTAAGTTCTGGGCCAACCCTGTTTCAGTAGGCTCAGAAGCCCCTAAACTCTTGTGGGTTTTGTTTGGTACCACTAGAGTGAAGTTTGAATTTAGGACCTTGAACTTACTACCACTTGAGTTCCCAGTCCAGAAGTCCCAAGTTCTAATACATACATACATATATATATATATATGAGAAAAAAGAATTACTATCATTATGATTATTATTATTATTATTATTATTAAGACAAGATCTCACTATGTAGCCCAGAGTAGCCTGGAACTCACAATCCTCCTACCTCAGCCTCCTGAGTGCTGGGATTACACTTGCATGCCACCACAGCCAGCAAAAAATAATTCTTTTAAAAAAAGTTCTTTGCTTTGCAACAGAACATGCTTCTTTTATATTTATTTATTTATTTATTTATTTATTTTGGTGGGACTGGGGTTTGAACTCAGGGTTTTGTACTAGCAAAGCAGGCACTCTACTGCATGAACCACACATGCAGCCTATTTTGCTGTGGTTATTTTGGAGATGAGGTCTCTGGAACTATTTGCCCAGGCTGACCTCAAACTGTGATCCTCCTAATCTCAGCCTCCCAAGTAGCTAGGATTACAGGTATGAGCCACTGGTGCCTTGCTCACATTCCTTTTATAAATAAATAGAATACCATTGAGGACATCTAAAAAGATGATGTAACTTATCCTAAATAGCTAAAACAGCTAAATTCCTGAAGCAGAAGGTTTTCAGGAATATGCCTTCATGCAAAAAGGCATATGAAACCTTCTGTTTCTGTTTCACCTGTACCTTTTTGGAGGAGGTGGGAGTGCCAAACTGCCTGGCCTAGGAGTGCAGTTTCTCAGGGACTATTGTCAAGCCACTGCCTTCCTGGAGGCCAGCTGGCATGCTTGTTCCATAGCACTCTCCACCTCCTTAACACAGAAATCTATCACTCGGTCTGTGGTCTAACTAATTGAGCTGTGCCAATATCAATTTCCTGGTTTTGATAACATACTGTAGTTAGTTACATGCGGTGTTTCAGTGTGGGAAGCAATTCAATGACAGTAAGTGACTTGATATCTCCTTAAAATGGGGAGGGATGATACATGTATTTTTGTAATATCTCCTGAGTCTATAATTACTTCAAAAATAAAACTTAAAAAAAACAAACATGTTATGACTTAGGAGACCAAATAGCCAATCTTGCTTGATTCATAATTAAATGAAGATGTTACTGTGAAAGCCTTGGGGGCTATCTTATTTGTAATTATATAAAATAACACATTAAATAGTTTAATTGCAAAAAAAAAAATTACTTAGTGCTGGCACCTTCAGCTACTCAAATGAAGTGGGTGAACCCCTGAGGTTCAAGCCATTTCCCCACCCCAAATAGGGCACTCCTGATGCATGACCGGAGGGAGGGATTCTGGGTACTTGGTCTCAGGTTCCTAACCTGGGAGAGGAGACAACAGAGGAGGGGCAAAGACAGAGCTTAGGTAGGCTGACTGTGGCAATTCCTCCTGGGACAGGAAAAGCCTCAGGGTACAACAGAAGAATGGTGGCTCTACCACTTCATGGCTAAGTGACGGTGGAGAGTGAGCTGACTCCTCCATAACCAGGGATAATGCCCCTTCAGTGAGTCTAGAGGAAGGAAAGTGGAGTAGCTAGATCAAGGCCAGGCAAAAGGCAGGAAGGCAGAAATAGAGGCTGACGCTTGTGTCAGGTGACACAGTAGGTGCTGTGAGATAACCAATAAGAGTTGGCCCCTTCTCTAGATGCATGAACTTGGCCATCTCAAGGGCCACCCTGCCCACACGCCACATCCTCTAGGGTAGGCAATGGATGACCTATAAGTTCCTTAATGACAATTCACCCTCCAGAGCTGCCCTCTGTGGGATTAGGCTGAGTCTAATTAATTAATTATTAGACACAGGGTGTGGCTATGTTGACCAAGCTGGTCTCAAACATCTGAGCTCAAGTGATCGCCCTGCCTCAGCCCCCTGAATGCTGAGATTACAGGCACACGCCACCACATCTGCTAGGCTGAGTCTAAGGAATATTTTGGCTTTGTTTTTTGCAGTGCTGGGGCCCTTGGGGCCTGCTATGTAAGCACTCTACCACTGAGCTACATCCCCAGCCCTAGGCTGAGTCTAGACTTAGCTGTCCTGCTTGGCACATCTCTGCCTTGCTTCATCTCTTGCCCTGGCCTGCTTGCCTCAGCTGTGGAAAATTCACAGGAGAACACAGCCTCCAAAGTCACTGGCAAATGAATCCTTGTCTCAGGCTCTGCCCAGTCAGGTCAAGGTCATCACTGAACTTCTCTGGTGCCCTCTGCTTTAGGGACCTCTTGGATCCAGGGGATGGGAAGAGGTGAGACTCCTCATGTCCACCAGAATCCTCCTGGCCTGTTCTGATTGGGTTGGGGGTCCTGCCACAATCCTTTTTCTAATATCCAGGCTGAGGATCGAGTAGAGTATGAAGCAGCCAACAAGCAGAAAGAAGCCAGAGGCAGGGCTTAGGAGCCTCAGGGTGGGCTCCAGGGTCAGCAATGCCCATTCTACCATGTCGTGGAGAGTAAGTGAGCAAAGAAGAGGTATCAGGGGAGAATGCCACTGGAGGGAAGCCGAGAGGGGCAAAGCCAGGAAAAGGGAGGTTCTTCCTTGGGTGGGGGATAAGCCTCATTCCTCTTGACAATGTTACTTACTACGCATGGTCACATTTATATGGGGGTTGGAGGCATCTTGTGCTTGACTTTTCCTACCAGGTGGGCACAGGTGACTTTATTAATAGCTGTCATTTGTTGAACATTGGTTTAGAGACGGACCCTTGTGCAAAGGGCTCCACATGAATCCTTTGAATCCTCACTACCATCCTAAAGAGGAAACTGAACAGATAGGACCTCAGTGCCGCCTACCCCGCCCCCAGCAGCTGTCCAGTTATCATCCCCTGGGTAGCTGATGTGGAGTGGCCCTAACCTGGAGGTCAGGATGAAGAGTTCCAGTGTTGGCTACACCTCCTGGCTGTGTGGCCTTGTGCAAATCCATCAGCATCCCTTAGCCCCAATTTCCCAGTCAATAACCATCCTGGGAAGATCAAGCAAGATTATATACGTGATCATGTGGTGCGAAATGCTTGACCTGTGGCAGGTAATAATAAGAGCTACCATGTATTTGGATCCTTCTAGGTATCAGCCACAGTTCTGAGCATAAGATGGATTAATTAATTTTATCCTTTACAATGACCCTATGAAGTAGATAATATTAGCACCCCCATTTTCCAGATGAGGAAACTGAGATACAGTTAATACACTCGTTAATATAATGAGTAACTGACAGAGCCAGGGTTTCTAGGTGTGGATACAGGCAGTCTGACTCCAAGACATGGGACGGCAGCAGTACAAGCCATGCCTTATAGCCCACACTTCTACCCCACCCTCATCCAGGAGGCCTTTGAGGACTTCCTCATTTCATAACAAAGTCTGCTCTTCGAATTCCTTTGTCCAATCACACTCACAATTGCCTGGTAATGCAGGAAGTACTCTTCTAGCACATCCTGCCTTAAATTGTTCTGATTCTTGTCTCACCGCTAGTTCTGGTCTTGCCCAACTGTGGGGTTTTGATGTTCTTCCTGATAGCTGATTAATTCTTACAACTCTAGTGTAAGACTCTGAGGACAGGTGGCCATATATATATATGCTTTTGCCTTTTGTTGCTTTTGAGGATGGGGAGGGTGTGCGGAACACCCTGAAGTGCTCCAGTTCTGTGTTTAGCTCAAGTAGATACCGACCACAGGCCAGCAGTGTGCCTGGGGATTAAGGATCTGATGGACCTCTGTCATCCTGGACGATGATCCCTGGGGTCCAGGGCCAGTATTAACCCAGGGGGAAGCTCACTGTGAAGGGAGCTCCCCTGAGAACCAGCTGGGCCCACTGGTTTGGGGAAGGGTAGAGGCCCCAGAAAGCCAGGGGGCAGCTATGCCCACAGGGTTCAGAACAAAGCCCAGGTGTGGGCAGGAGACCTGAGTTCACACCTCAGCTCAGCCATTTTCATAGCAGTGACTCAACCTCTCTGAACTCCAACATCTTCATCCCTTGGAGGAAATGACAATACACCCTCAGGAGAAAGACATCGCACACATCAGCGAATGAAGAAGTGGTCTATAATTATGTTACAGGTCTCTACACAAACTTAAGACAGACATCCCAGTAAGAGCAGGTCACCACAGCCCTAAATTACACAATCTGATTGACTGCCTGAAACAGGCTCCAAAATGGTATCCTGGTGAATGGCCTGGGCTTTGTGGCCAGGCAGAGCTGGATTCAAGTCCTCTCTCTGCCAGGTAACGGGAACATTACGTAAGAGTAACCAACGGTAGTGTGAGGCCCACTAGGATGTGCTCAACCTAAGGGAGGCAGTGGAAAGTCTGCTTGCAGCTCTCCATGCTTTCCTAGGAGAAACTGCTCTCTCTAGGCCGTTTGTGAAAAAGGAAACCAATCCCAAGAGCCTAAGACACTCCTCAGAGGCCACAGGCAAGACACCAAAAAAGATGGTCCTAGAATGGCCAGAGAAGCCACTTGGAGGACAGTGGCCTTCAACACCAGGAGCTTCCACATCCCTTGGGGAGTGGCTAACATGCAGATTCTTAGGTCAAACCCATGTGGCATTTCTAGCTTAGCAGCTGGTCTCTTCTTGGCCTAAGAAGGGCCCTTCTCCAGGTCACCCCCAGCCCTCAGTGGGGCCACCTGAGCTTACCTGGGAGGAAGGGGATGATCCTTTGCTTGGGTCCTTCTGGCCACCTTCGATGGGAAACTTATCCAGAAGCTGCATCTGAGGAGCCAACAGACAGAAGTCAGGCTTCAGAAGACTGGACTGCACTGCCCCACCAAGCTCACACGGATGAGTGACGCCTGAAATCCCTCACTTCACAGACGATTAACAAGCCACATGGGGCATGAGAAGGAGGAGGCCAGAGCTCCCTGTGCATCAAAGGGAGGGGAGGGGTCTGGAGACACCCCAGGTGAGTCCAGGCCAAGGACCACCAGATCTTCAGGCCAGGCTGGGCTTCCAAATACTCCTTTGGGCCCCTTTCTTTTATATTTCATCTGCAGGGTGAATCCTTCAACAACTGGCCATTCCAAAACTTCCTAGGCTAGGATGGAGGAAGGCCAAACCTGATCCTTCAGACAGACCACCCACCTTCCAGAACCACTGTGCGGAAACACACCCAGATGTTATTTTAATTACAAAACCAAATCTATCTCATTGCCCCCACTGCTGGGAGACCCGTTTCTCTGCTTCCTCCTTTCCCACCCTGAGATCACTACTGTTTTTCCAGGGACAGACCCGCTGGAAAAGTTTCCAAGATTCTAGAGGAATAGCTGTTTTTTCTTTTGCTATTCTAGGCTAAAATTCTATGTAAACTGGAAAAATATGCAGGAGGTAGGATGGACAAGGCCAGAGCCCCTGTGTGTGGTGGATTGCCCTTCCAAGGCACAGGCCGCAGCAGAGTGGCTACAGCCGGGATCTTGTCCAGTGCCCCAGCTGTGTGACCTTGGGCAAGGCAGAGAACCTTCCTCAGGTGGACTTTAGATGCCTCCTTGGCAGAATGAAGAGGACTGGCACGTGGTCTCTGAAGTCCATCCATGCCTCCATTCCTTCAAATATTTATTGAGCACCCCCACAGAACACTGCGCATTAAAGAAAAAAGCTCAAGTTCCTGCCCAGGGAGTCCTTGTGATAGGAGGGAGACAAATGGTAAACAAATGTGTCACATGTCAGGGGAGAAGAGCACTACAGAGAAAAACGAAATAGGGCAAGGTATTGAAGCAACATGGGGTTGTCATTTTATTTGGGGTATTGTGCACGGTCTCACCAATTCAGAGGCAATTTAGCAGAAGCCGGCAGGAAGACAGGAAGCAAGTCACTGTGGAGAAGGAGAATGTTCCAGTAAAGGGGAACTGGAAGTGCAAAAAGCCTGTGGGGCTGCCATGGTGAGTCAGGGCAGAGGGACAGGCAAGGAGAGCTGAGGCAGAATGGGCCAGACCACGGAGGGTGCTACTCAGGTTTATCCTGATGGAAGGGGAAGCTGTAAAGAGTTTCGTGCAAAGAGACTTGATCTGGTTCATGCTTTGAAAAGACAACTCCAGCTATGGTGTAGTTGAGCGGTCTATAGGGTGGAAGTAGACCAGTGAAGAGCCTTTGGATGGCAGCGTTGACCAAGGTGTCAGCACCAAAGGTAATGACAAGAGGTCTGACATGAGGTTGTGTGTGTGTGTGTGTGTGAGTGTGTGTGTGAGTGTGTGTGTGTGTGTGTGTGTGTGTGCATGCAGCTCTTCGTTTACACATCCTGCGCTAACACATGATTTTAGGACTGTCTCTTGCGAAATCATCACCCAATACATAGGTTATGTAGAACTCATACATCAAAGGGGTCACTGGTGATTCCATCCAAAACAAGACAGAGACTGCACCATAATTAACTTTCACTTCCCGAACACAGATGGATATTTAGCAAAAGCTGGCTCATGAGTTTTGATGTTGTAACTTCAACTCTCAAACATTTAATAATTCCCTGCTACTTGTAAATACAGCTGTTGGGCTGTATGAACATTATGAACTTGTACTTAGGGCTTTTTTTTTATGAGACAAGGTCTCACTATGTATCCCAGGCTGGCCTTGAACTTGTGATCCTCCTGTCTCAGTCTTCTGAGTACATCATCACACTTGGCAATTTTTTTTTCTTAATTACCATTTCAGACAAATTCTACAGACTAGAATTCCTGTTTTTTTTTTCCTCACCCATATTCTCCTGTACCTACATTTTACTTCTATATTACATAAGTAATTCATGCTCACGGAGGAGAAAACTAGAAATTACAGAAGCAGTGGGTGGTCAAAAAAAAAAAGGAAAAAGAAGTTGGGCGTGGTAATCCCAACACTTGGGAGGCAGAGGCAGGAAGACTGAGTTCAAGGCCAGTCTGGGCTTCATATCGAGATCCTGTCTTAAAAAAAAAAAAAAAAAAAAAAAGCCCATACCAAAACAAAAGAAAAATGGAAAAAGAATCACTCCTAATCTGTCTTCCTATAAAAGCAACATTAATATTTGGAGCTATATATCCTTTCCAGGAACTCTCCTGTGTATGTACATAAAATGAACTCATCAATGCTTACACTATGTAATGAACTTTTTTCCCCATGTCGATGAATACTTTCATATCAGCAATTTTCTTTTATTTTTTTGAGTGCTGGAGGGATGAGCCCCGAGCCGTGCATAAACTAGGCACAGCAGCGCTCTTAATTGTGACATTTTTGCCATTGTGTTTGCAGTACTGGAGTTTGAAGTCAGGGTTTTGTGCTTTCGAGGCAGGTGCTCTACTGCTCAAGCCACACCTCCAGCCCTTGTTCTTCTTCAAATTATGAATATGGCTCCCATGTGGACAGCACTGAACTGGAACACAGGTCTTACAGTGTCATCTGCTACCTGCCCACATGTCTCACTTGGGGTGAACGTTGCTTACAATGCAGATTTCTAGACCCCACCTGGAAGTTTGTCAACTTTTGATCTGGTGCTTGAAACAGACCAGCAAATTCTAGAGGAATGGGGAAATGCCAAAGACATAGGAACAGGATCTGTGGGAGCTCAAAGAGGAGGTCAGGGAAGACTTCCTAGAGGAGGCAAGACAGCTATGTCTTGGCAAAGCGACAGTCACATTCCCTGTGCCTTTCTAGCCAAAAGGCAGTCTGAATTTCCTCAACGGGTTCGTGTGTCTCCTGAAAGGCAGGGGTCATCTGATAGCCTGGCAAATAGGAGGCAGATTTGAGTTTACCTCTAAAAGATCTCTTTGGTGTATGTGTGTGGGGTGCTCTGCAGGGGTGGCTTGCCTACCTTCTCCTTTGGCAGATTCTTCTCTCCCTGAGCCTCTGGCTTAGTCTTAGGGCCCCTGGGGCCAAGATAAGCCATCTGCTGAGCACCAGCACCGGGGTCAACAGGTCCCTCTCCAGAGCTGTGAGTCCCTAAGTCAGCATACTCATACCTCCCAGCCCTCAGGTGCTGAGCCTAGTCACATGTGCCACCTTAACTCTCCTACCAAGGCTAAGCCTGCAGAGCCTCGGTGTGGCCCTCCCCATAGCTCTCTGGCCAGTGGAACAGGAAGCCCAGTTCACCAGTGCCATTTTCTCTGCCCACAGGTCACCTTTCAAAGAAAGCAAACCCCTGGCTTTGGCATAAAGCAAACCAGATAAAGGTGGACCAGCCAAGCCAACTCTGTGGCATCAGCAACATGGGGGCTCACAGGCTCACTCAGTCCAGCCTTTGGGCCCACGAGATGGCAGAATGGGGGCAGTGGAACCATGCTTGATATACAATACAAATGTCACACCTTTGAGGGGGCAGAGGGACTGCACAGTGCACAATATGCAGGGCTGGGTTCCTCAGATAAAATAGTCACAAAAGCTGAGTTGAGGGGCTGCCTCCTGGACAGGCCTTTTCAGGCCTTCCATGAGGAGGAAGCCTGGGTGCGTGGGCAGTGAGGAAGGAAGGCTCCTCCCAGAAGCAGGGAGTTCTGCTGTGGCCACCTTTTCAGGCAGGAAATGATTTCTACTGTCACTCCAGCAAAGCCCTGCTCTAGCTAGAAGAAAAGCGGGTCCTGTTGCCAGGGTCCTTCTGGGGTGAGAGGGATCTGGCCAGTGGAACCTCTTGTAACCACTTTGGAACCTTGCAGTGTGTGAAGGACGCTGGATTGTTTATCTAAGGGGTGGATAGTGAGAGATACGGGACAATTTGACTCTGAGAGCTGGCTCCAGTCAGAGAAAGCTGATGGGGCAGGTCTCCTTGGGCAGAACTCTGCAGCAGTAAGCACTAGGGAGTGAGGAGGATGGGCCTCAACCCCCCCACCCAGCAGGGGTGCATCTGTAACCCCAGAGGCCCACTTCTCACCTGCAGAAAGGGTGGAGTTCTCAGTGACTCTGGCATTAGGCTCATTCCTCCAACCTTCATCCCTGTGGCCATTTCTAGCTCACGAACAAAGGGAATATCACAGGAAGCTAGAAGGTTCCCTGACCTAGAAATTCCCCTTAAAAAGACAAGGTCACTCAATTTCTGTGAGACCATGGGAGATCAAGGAAACCTTGATCATTTGTCCAGCCTACTCAATGGGGATTTAGTGGTCTCTGTGTTAGATGCTGGGGACTCATCAGTGAGCATCACAAAGACAGAAAGTGATAACAATAAAATAAGAGCAACATTTCTTCAGTCCTCACCCCTTGTGGCCTGAAATGCACTCCCCCTCACACCCCATTCTCTTCTGTTCTTTGATAGCCTTACAAGAGACACAACCTCAAACTATGAGAAGTCCCCCCCCACCCCCACCCTATGACTGTTCCAGCTGAAGGTCACACCTCCTTTCTTTGCACCCAAGCAGCATCTCAGGTTTGGATTCCCTAAGTCTCTATTTCAAAATCTCTTGTGATTGGCTCTTTTGTACAAGTTCACCACATTGCCCACGAGAAAGCATCCTTTGCCCTTGAATAGTCTCGCCACCCTTGTCAAGACAAATTTGACATGAAGATATATAAGCAATAGATTGCAGGGACTGGACAGTACCTCTGATGTAATTATTAGCAAATCCTCCTTACTTTTAGGGGAAGGGGAGTTCAGCAGAATTCTCTGTCCAAATTAAATCAAACATCAAACCTCAATACACGGGTGTTTTTTGGCTGAGCTCTCGTATCACTCCAGAACAGTGCTGAAAAGACTACCCTTTCCCCATTGCATTTCCTTAACTCCCTTGTCTCTACATGCGAGGATCTATTCTGAACTCTATGTTGAC